ATATATAAATATATATATAAATATAAATAATATAATAATAAATATATAATATATATAAATATATATAATATTCGATGCAGAATTTTTAACTTCAAAGATATTACACACTATTATAGTGATTTTTGGTGAATTTCATTTAACATTCGATGCAGAATTTTTAACTTCTTAGGTATTGCACGTTGCTATAGTGATTTTTGGTGAATTTCATTTAATATTCGATGCAGAAATTTTAACTTCTTAGATATTACACGCCATTATAATGATTTACGTAGACGTAATATTTTGTCGATACGCCACAATAATTGCATTTGCAAATATCATTTTCACGTAAAAATGTATGCAAATAATCGTTAATCTAAATTATTACTTATATTCCTTTGATTTTGTAATTTATTTTATAATTTATTTTACCGTAGAGAAATGTAAAAACCATAGCAAAATCTCGGAAGAGATTATAAAGAAGAAGAAACAAAAAATATATATATTGGTTGATAAAATACTTTAAACATTCCAATAATATTTTTATCCAACTAGACGTAGGGGAATTGATTGAAAATTATTAAAATACTAAAGAATGATTCAAAGTTATTTGTTTGATATGATATGGTCGTCATTTAATAATTCATTTAAAACACGAATATTAATATAACGAAATAAATTTTCTTCTTATAGAAGAAGAAGAAGAAGAATTCCGAGTATTCGTGTGTGACACAAAAGCGGTGGGAGACCTTCCCTCCTCCTCCACCTCCTCCTCCACCTCTTCTCGTGCAGTGTTCAACTATTTCCCTTTTTCTTTTTGTCAGTTTCCTTTAGTCCGGTAGCCATCGTGCTTGAATTATAGAAGTATGCATAACTCGTTCTCCTGTTGCTTGACTACATTGTTAAACCGAGAGAGAAGAAGAAGAGGGCGTCGGAAAAGTATTGTGATTTTAATTTAGGAACACACATCCTACGCTCGAACAAAAGCTTTACGAATATTTTCACGAATATTTTCTAAAACATTTCGTATCACATTCGGTGGTACGGGGGTTAGAGTTAGAGGTAGTGGTGTATAAATCTAACATACACCAAGGTGAAAGAAGAAACGAAGAAATGAAGGAGAAACAAAAAAAAAATGAGAAATAAATAAATAAAAAAAGAAAATGAGTAAAGGAAAGCATTAGAAGGAACTTTTTCGTATTCCTTTGGCTTCTTTGTTTTTTCTTTTATTTTTTTTTTTTTTTAGTTCTTTCTTTCGAACACGAATTCTCGAAAAACGAAGTCGATCGTCGTCGTTTCCTTGTTTTTTTTCTTCTTCCTCCCCATAATACACGCTCGATCGATCTCGAAGATCGTTTTTCCTTCCTATCACCCCTCCCCCCTCCCTTTTTTACTATGGCAGTTAAATAAATCCTTGGTAAAAGGATGGTAGTCGAGATAAAATACATGGTCGATAGTAAAATTGCCCTTTTTTCTTTTGCTTTAAATCGGACGAGTGAAAGTAAAAGAAATACGCGCGAAAGCAATTAATCGAAACTGAATTCTATGAGAGAGAGAGAGAGAGAGAGAGAGAGAGAGAGAGAGAGAGAGAGAGAGAGAGAGAGAGAGAGAGAGAGAGAGAGAGAGAGAGAGAGAGAGAAGGAACAACTTGATGTTCAATATTTGTATCGATTTTCAATTTAATATTGGATTATAGAAAGATCCAAATTCAAATATTAAAATATTATGCAAATTGTTTGGTCAGATGATCAATCAACAAGTCAATTTCATAAATTAAAATATTTTCTATGGATTTTTAAATAGATGAAAATTATATTATCTTTAATTATTATCGGTTATTTTTTTTTTCTTTCTTTTCTAATTATAAAAAGAATAAAATATATATATATAAATCTTGTTAGAGAGGTGATTTGATTGAAAAATGAAGTAGAGTAAAAAAATTTGCTGATTTAAGTATATAAAAAATTTATTGGACAAAGGTAAAGAAAAAAGTCCATGCCGTGAAAAATTTTCAAAGAAAAAAAAGAAAGAAAAATCCAGAATAAACTCTGATAGTAAAACATACAAAACAGAAAAGAAAAGAAGAAGGCGTGTTTTTAGGTAAAGAAAAACAAGTGAGAGAGAGATAGCAAAAATGTGATAGGGTGAGTGGGTGGTTGGGGGATTGGTAATGGGGGTAGATTCGGGTTAGAGGTAAAACGATATCGTTCGTTCACGATATCTGGGTTAGAATATACAATTCAAATAAATTCTATAGGCAATATTCTTTTATTCGTATAGGGGACACATCTAACATCGTTTGCATTCAACTTGAAAACCCTTCGGGGGTCGGGATGGGGGGAGGGGGAGGGGTGGTGGTAGTGTTGGCTTGGTTCGAGTGTAGTCTACTATTTTTTTTTTTATTCTTTTTTTTTCCGGAACATAGAAAAGCAAACGAGGAACAACCAACCAACCAACGTTTTATTCCATAACTATCGTGTTCCTGTAATATGCATTAAAAGGAATAACTATGAAAAGCGATTATTGTATTAGTGAGTTGGAATACGAAACGAGATCTTCTACCCTCCAACCCCCAACTCCCAGCTCCCCCCTCACCTCCACTCAAACGAATAACACTAACCCTGGCTATGCAAATGAAAGGGAAAACTGTTTCGATGATCTTCTTATAGAATATAATCTCGTTTTTTTAACGATAATACAGAAAAAAAACAAAAAAATAAAAGAAACAGATGATATAAATATAGAATAGATGAAAATGTAAAATATGAAATATAGAAACTCGTAAATGAATTATTAAACTGGGATAGGTTTAATATGTGTCCCATTTTAATAATAATTAATTATTAAATATTACTACAGAGAGTTTTTTTTTTTATTTCTTTTTGAGAATTTTCAATTTGTACGAATATGTTTTAATTTTGTTTCCTCGTGTTGGGACGTTTGTCAAAAGTTTGTTTTAAAATGTTAAAAAAAAAATAAGATAAACGTTTGATA